CAGCCTGGATTGATACCGGGGGTTGCCCCGACCCAGGTGCAGGACCTTGCACTTGGCCTTGTTGAACCTCATGAGGTTCACATGGGCCCACTTCTCCAGCTTGTCCAGGTCCCTCTGGATGGCATCCCATCCCTCTGGCATGTTGACCACACCACTCGGCTTGGTGTCATCTGCAAACTTGCTGAGGGTGCACTCGATATGGATATTGGTTTTTAAAATAGGTAACAATAATGAAGGTGAAATTTAAAATTATGTTACAATGGTAAATGTCTGAGAAAACTGACCAATAAAAATTGGAATATTTTGTTGAAATTTGAACCTTAGGATGAAGCAGCATTCATTCCTCCCATAGCAAAGTTTTGATAATACTCTGTTACTTACTCACAGGAACATGCTTGGATCATTCTATTAAGAATGATGTATTTAAATATCAGGATAACTGTTTCAGTTTCAAACTTTGTAGTTCAGTCAATGATACATTGCTTTGAAAATCCTCTGAAACTGTTCATGGAATAAAGTGGACATAGCTGTGCTTACTTGAGACCATTCAATTAAAATAGGGGAAAAAAGTGCAAGGAAAAAGGTAAAATCAAAGTCAGTATCAAAACTACTAATATCTACGGCATTTTCAAGACTGCTGTGTGCTCTTTGGACATAATTCACTAGGAGTCTCGTACAACAAAAATAAATGGTCTATAATTATTTTACAGGGCTCCTTTAGCTCAGGAAGCACTTATTCTGGGAAACCGGTAAGAATACTTTCATCACAGCATTTTCATCTTCTTATCTTAGTAAACAAAGAACTGGGGTGGTTGATAGAGCAATTTCGGGATGATTTGGCCTGAAGAGAACGTTCTGAATTAGTTCCGTTTGTATTACAGCACATTTAAAGAAATCACTGCGGAAAATACGACCTCAGCCTAAGAAAGCTATTTCAATATATTTTAAATCTGAATCTGTCTTGCTTCACATTCCAGTTAGTGGCCTTGTTACATTTTGCTGTCCTCTGCTCAGTTAATCCTTCGCTTTTTTTTTTAATAAACTAGATTGTTGTGTTTTTCACTGGCAGGTTACCTGGTTTTCCACTTGGCTTTTTTTTTTTTTCTTTCTTTTTTTT